AATTTAGTTAATCACAGATATTTATAATACTAAATTATTAATTGCATTGTAATGAAAAACTCTTATTACTTAAATATTATCTTAAAGAAGATTATAATTATTTAAAAAATATACAATTATTGAAAAAAAAACTAGTACAAGATTTAAATAATTAAAATAAATTTACGATATGTTAATTACTCAAACATTATCTTAAATTTTTTTGTTAACTTTTTATTGGGATACTTTATATAAAAAATACTTTGATTTATATTATGTTACAATTGGGCTTTGACATTCGCAATAATTAACCTCTTAAAACTATTTTTGATAAAACTTATATTTGTCTCCAGTTTAATTGGCCAAATATTTGTCGTTGATGAAAAGATAAAACTTCGGTTTTTTCAAAACGCGGAAACACGGTGAGTAAACCAGTCAATTTCGTTTTGAGTGATGTATGAATTAGCTGTTTGTATATCGCTTTTCGTATCAATACGGAGTCCCCTTTCAATACGCGCAGAGGTTTCTGTAAAGCTCTTAGGCCACTATATAGAAGCACCTGTAAAGTGATAGGATTAGATTTGTGATGGAATGTCTCATAATTTAATTCGAATAATGGTCGATACTATTAGTTAACAAACCGTAATAATTGAGTGTGTGATCTAATAATTCATATATGTATACAAAGATAACAAAACTCTCTGGAACAAGACGGGCAGGAAAAACTCAGAAAAAGAAAAATAAGTTAAGTCGGGGATTGTAGTGCTGCCACCTGTACAGACAGCAAGGTTTCTTCGTAACATTTTTAAATTTTAAATTACTTTCTGACGTGGGACGCTCATTTGTCCATACTTATGACGTGTCGATTTTCTATAAAATTTATTGTTTACGTGTCAGTTGACGACTAGCCGACTGAGTTTACTCCTTTTTTTTTGGTCAAACTGAATTTACTCCTTGGTCGATCAATTTTGTAACTAAATACCAGAGTCTCTTACATTTATTTTAAAAAAAATTAGAGAAGGAACGAAATATTTTATCCCTTTCTGACTAGGGGTGGGCATACTGAACCAAACCTGAAAATCCGAACCAAACTGATCTGAAAAAATTTGAACCGAACCGATCTGATATTGTTGTAATAACTGATTGGATCTTATGATGATTGTGGTTCGGGTCCGAGTTCGGTTCGGTTATACTTGAAATCTGATTTTCAATCCGAAGAAAATCGAACAAGAAAACACGATATGTAAGTTTTTTAGACTTTCCCTTTAATCTCTATCCGAGATTCTCAGATCAATCAAATATCCTAATTTCTAAATTTTCAAATTCAATCTGTAATCCCTAAATCATCAATCCTCACTTTTTCTTCTTTCTGAGACATCTCGAAATCGATCTCAGGTACACCATCGTCTTCTTCGTCTTCTTTTTTTGTGATTTACAGTTTAAGTTTGGCAATTTGAATTTTCAGTTTGATAATTTTTACGGTTTTCGCATTTGTTATGGTTTCTGTAATTATTACAAACTTTGAATTGTGATTTTCAAAACTCTGTTTGTGTTTGAGTTTGACAATTTAAGTTTTTTAGTCGAGTTTGCAATGTTGTTCGATAAACAATAATGGAAATTGTTACAAAGTTGAATCATACTTTGATACTAATTTTAGTGTTTATTTTGACCATTTGTTTTCTTAGATTTTGGATATTACTTGTGTATTTCAGATATTTTTTAGCATGTTTGGTTACAATTTGGTTACAATTCAGATACATATAACTGAAACCTTCGAAAACCGAACCAACCCGTTTGTAACCAAAAAATTTTCAGATCAATATCGATTTTTATATACAATATAAGAACCGACCTGAACCCGAATTATAATTACCTGAACCCGATCCAAAAATTAAAAATATCTGATTGGGGTTTTCAGCTCTATACCTGAAAATTAGATACCTGAAAAAATCAATCTGATCGGATCCGGGTTACCCGAACGCCCACCTCTCGGATTTTTAGATTGTTTCTTGGTTTTTAAAATATCGAAAGGAAAAAAATGAAAAGAATTTACTGAGAAATGGTTATTTAAATTGAAATGTGTTGAATAGTAGTAATAAGTAAATAGGGTCTTTAATCCGGATGAATGTATTAATATAACTGTATTTGTTACAGAAGAAAAAATCTTGTGTTCATATTAAAACGATTGATTGTGTTGAAAACAACTAAGTATGTTACAAGTTACAACTTACTACTAGTAATTAGGGTTATTTACTTCTTCACGGAGAAATTGAAATGTGTTGAATAGTAATACATAAATAGGGTCTAATCCGGATGAATGTATTAATATAATTGTATTTGTTATAAGGAAAATCTGCATTGTACGGTTCCGTACATATTCGATATATCACATCATATAGTTATAGATCCTGACAGTTTTAATTTAAAGATTGTAAAAAAAATTTGCCTTATTATATATGAAGCATTGTTACAGATTAAGTTACGCTAGGATATATCATATATCGTAGCATTTCTTTGTCGACCATTTTCCTATCACTTTGTATTTATTAAAAAACTGTTTGTTACTGAAACATTAACATTATGTTCTCTACAAGTAGTGTTGTTCTCAAGAGGAGGCTGCTGAAGAAAAAAGTTCAGACGGTTAAGTAAATTGTCTTTATTATGTTTCTTTTAAAATGTCTTTATCATGATATGAATGTTGTTTACTTCGTAATTCTAGGACCGATTTACTGGAGGGACAATCAGTGCAATTGCTCCAGATCTACTTCCCAAATCAAACAAAATTAGGATAATAATGAAGCCTAAATTTATGTGTTTCATCAATTATTAAGAGCTTAAATTTATGTTTTTATCAATAAAAGGGCCTTAAATTTTTTTTTTGCCCAGAAACTATTAAAAATATTGAACCGGCTCTGCGTAATTCTTTGTTTTTGTCAACGACAATGTTCTTTTTTTTGTCATAAAAGAACAGAAAAAATAATTAGAGGTTCATACTCACGTCGGCATAAACCTACAAGGCTACAACGGGGCGAGAGAATCAATATTAGTTCCAATACGAAGTAAAGCTAATCTGTTAAACTTAAACCATATATGTAGTAAACTTTAGAGAACCATTATAAGAAAATCTTTCATGCGCAAAACTGAATAAAGTTTGAGTCAGAGCGCATTGGATATTTTGATATTAAAATTACGATATACTATATACGGATACACCTACTTTCTCTAGTCCTAACAACCTGTTACAATTCCAGATATTTCTTCATTGTGCGTCTAATCTTAATCACGTCGTTGTCATTATAATACTACTTTAATCAAAAGCAAAGAAAAAGCGGGGGTTGATTTCGTAAATTGGAAAACATTATAGGTAGGATGTGATATTACTAAACACACCACCCAAAAATATACAGTTTTGGGGACCATATAACATTCAAAAATACTTTTTAACATATTTTTGAATGTCGACGATATTTTTTAAATATTTTAATCAGTGTTTTATATAATATCTGACTTTTTTTACTTACTTCTGATCGTGACCATGGAAAAAAAACATGTCGGTCTATTTTAAAAAGCCCATAGGAATAAAAACAACATTAAAGGTTCAACAAACAAATGACTACAAGAAGAAGATATTTTGTTCACTCTGAAATTCTTGTAATTGTTATGTTAAAGTTTATTGATTTAATACCATATACATTAGACTATCAATTGATCCGAGATTCAATTATCGTCTGTTTAATTCGTTTTTAAAGCACTGTTTAGTTATAAGTTTCAACGACACTATTAGCTTCCTCGTATTTGCTAACCATACGATATACTTCCAATCCAAGAATGTAATGATTTGTCCAAGAAGCTAGATCTTTTTGTTGCTCGACTCCAAGATGCAAACATTATCACTACGAAAAATTATAACACAATTTTGGAAATAAGTTCGGGGTACAGAAGAAGATAACATTGCTTGAGGCTCAAAAAAAAAAAAAAAAAATTAAACTAGACCTTCATTAATGGTATGTAACAAACAATGCAAGATAAAAATACAGTTTAGGAAATAATGGGAGTTCGAGGAAAATAGAAACTAACTAACTACCAACAAATAAATCTTACAAAAAAACACTTTTTCAAGCATTGGAGAGGTTTTCTGTAAATCAAAACACCACACTGAAGATTTCACAAGTGTTGGCTAACAAAAAGAACCGACCGACACAGTAATTTATTTATTTCTTTAAATTATTCGAATAAAAACTTTCAATGATTAATGAATGAGATTAATATAAAGGACAATAACACCTTTGCCTAATCAAAACGCAAGAGACCATTACAAAGATACTCCTCTTTACTTTTTTTCTCCCCCAATACTTTCAACTAAATTTGATTAGAAAGTATAGAATAAAGCATACAATTCACAAATCAGGTCATTAGCAATAAGATAACAAATGTATTACAAACAGCATATGCTTTACTACAAGGAAAGTATTTGAACGGAATATTAGAGTACTCGATTAGAAAGTAAGTAAAGAAGAAAAAAATATCGAAACACATTTACAAAGTACAACAAAGATATGGATATGTCGGCTACAATATAGAATTCTTTAGGGACTTTTTTTTGTTTTGGGTGCAAATCCTTTAGGGACTAAAAAGTTTTTTGAAAAAAGAAACATTCTATGAACCAAAGAATTATTGACTCGAGGATCGATCCGAAACTCTTAAGAGTTGAGACGAGTCTCAATGACTTCAAAAAATGCGCTCAAATCCACTAATATATAGGCTCAAAGCTACCTGAAACAAGTTAATCTGCTAACTCACAATGAAGTAGAAACTAGAAACTGTAAATTTATCATGTTCTAACAAATTTCAAATGAGACAATTAACACAGACAAAACTTGAACCCTTTTTCGGGTATTTAGATTCGAAATGTTTTACATATTGAAAATAAGCAGAGCAAAAGAAAAGCATGATTATATCAAAAAGAGAAGCAAAGGAACCAACGAAAATAAAGCAGTGTGTTGCTTATGAATCAATTATCATCATTCTTCGTCTGAGTAATCAAACTTAACCGAATGTGACTGAAGATCGATCTCTCCTCCTCTGTAGCTTCCTCGTTTCTTTTTCGTCTTCTCATGTCGGAATCCCCTAAAACAACAACAAAAAAAGCGAAAATTCAGTGATAAAAAAAGACATGAAACCTAAATTGGTGTTCTTCATTTTAGTACCGAACAAACTAAACCTAAACCGGACATTGTGTAACCAAACCAAATCTAAAACCGAATCAACACCCTAAAGTCCAAAGATTGAGGAGTTTTACCTTCCTCTGACTTGCCCTAGAACCTCTTGAGCTTTAGCACCATAACCAGAATCAGCACCATCCTATAAGAAACAAAGAAGTCAACTTTAATACAGGCATTGGTAAAACAAAGATTGCTATAGAAGGAGACGTAGAGATTATATAGAACCTTTGCCCAATAAGAGTTGTCCTTAAGTCTCTCATCAGTGAACACAACGTCTTCAACGTTCACTCTCTGAAACGGTTTCTTCGGCTGTAATCGAATGTTTAAAACGCATCAGTCACACACCACTTAAACCGAGAATAAATCAACTGGATGCAAACCCGCGGTTACCTCTTTTGAGTTAGAAAGCCCTTTTCCTGACTTCTTATTCGTTGATCTTGTTTCGCTCTTCTCAACGTTACCGTTCTCCTGAACTTCAGCCTGCTTAACAGGTGTTTCTTGAACACCCTCGTCGCTTTTTTCTACATTCTCTTCCTTCTTCCTACGTTTTGATTCTTCATCATCCTCAGCCTGTTCTTTAGTCTCTTCTTCGGGCTCTGATCTTTTCCTTTTCTTGGAAACTTTCTCCTTATCATCATCACCCAAAGACTCAGCCTCAACAGGTTTCGACTTGGTTTTCTTCTTCTTCTTCTTCTCTTTCGGTCCATCTTCGATCTCAGCATCAGTCTCTTTGACCTTCTCCTCCTCGGTTACCTCCAGCTTTGCTTCCTTCTTCTTCTTCTTTTTATCCTTCTTTACCTTCTCCACGCCCTCCATTGCATCCGCCGCAACTTCATTCTTCTTCTCCTTTTCATCAGTTTCGTGATCAACAGATGCATTCTCGTCTACATTCCCTGCCTCCTTCTTCCCATTTGCGTTCACATCATCACCGGATTCATCTTTCACCTCCACAGCTTCGATATGGCTACATAATACAGAGCAAACAAAGAGAAACGCCAGATTGATAATGGGTTTCAACATAAATCAACCAGTAAAGCCACTTCAACGACACAAGCTTTACCTCTTCTTCAAGAACTCGCTGTAAACTTCCTCTAGATCCGGTAAAGTACTGTTCAATTCCTTCTTCTGAAACAGTTACAAAAGAGCAACATTCATGTAAAAACCATATGCTATACCAACAAATCATCAATTCCTTAGTAGTATAAGGCTAAATTTAACAGATTCTAATAGCTAATTCAAGGATGACATTCAGGAGCTAGTCAATGGAAAAATTTGAGCAAGTTTTGATTTTTTTTTCTCCAAACAGCAAAAGACAAGTCTCTTAAAATCGAATGTGCGAACCTCGATTTCAGCTTCGGAGAGCAGTTTTTTGAAGCATTTGGAAAACCCACATCGCTCCAAGTACTGAGCTATCGAACGGAGAAGAAGAGCCTTCTGCTCCGATTTCAAGCTCGAGGTTTTGCTCTCTTTCCCCATAACCGGTCTAGAGATCAACACTTGACGAGGCTTGAGAGCTAGGAGGGCTGGGTTTAAGGTGTTTGGAGAAGATTCCGCTGCTAGGGTTTTGGGCATAAGTAATGAAGCTCGTGTCTCAATTTGAGCTTAGGACAAATTTGCTTGGAACCGAGGCGGATAAATGGAAAAATCTGATGAAGACAAGGATTCAGGGGAAATTAGGGTTTTTCCGGGTGCGCGCAAAATTAAACCCGACCCGATTGTGTAAACTCGGCCCGTTTCATACTTATGGATTTTTTTTTTTGTGACAAAAAGGAAAAAAATGCATAGACAAAAAAATAATACAACTTGAGGATGAAGGGCACATAGTTGTACGATCACTCAAATGTAAATTTGCATAATGCATATTGTTAAGAAAAAAGTTACTCGTAAGTAAATATAGCATATACATCTAACTCTCTAAGTACAAATGAAAAATGTGTAAGTATAGCATATGCTACTAACTCTCAAGTACAAATATTTGAAAATTTAAAACTTTTTAATCAGATGTGTGGTGGGTTTGGGCCGAAATTTGTTGGGTTTAGGTACTGGCAAGTGACAACTTTTGTATTTGGATATATTTAGGCTTTTAAAGTTTTGGGCTGATGGATTTGAACAATATGCATTTGGCGAATTGAAATTTGAGCTCAATTTTATTAGCATCGTGGTCAGTCAATATGCATTGTCGTCCAATAAATAATAAAATAACCTTAGCGGATTTGAACTTTATTGACTAAAAGTTCTGTGTAGTTTTGATTCATTTGCTCCTTCGCCGTGGTTAGAAAAATTGAGCTTTTATGGTGGGCAAAAATGAGAAATCTTCCTTCACATGTTACTACTAATTGGTTCCTTTCACTCCATATGTGTTCGACTTTTTTTTATTCAAAACGCATTTTCATAAAAGAGCTTTCTAGTGTCACGTTCTTGTGTTTCCAATTTCAGTAACCACCAAGATTTCACAACGCAAGAAACACAAATATTGTTTCAAACATGAAAATAAAGCTAAATCGTCTTCGATATTAATCATTATCGTCTTTTTCGTGTTGTTCTTTCGGTTTCTTTTTTTATGTTATATTAGCCAATTGACCTCGTTAGACACGTTAATATAATGATTTCAATATGGAGAAATTATCCTTTAGGTTATGAATGTTTGAAAACACATGTAAGCTTCAGCATTTACTCATATTTGTCAGACGATTAGGTCTTTGTACGTATACTCACGATGATAATATGATTAATGTGATTGTGAGATAACGTCTATTGTTGGGTTTCTGTTGATTCATTCAATCTAATGATTAGTGTTTGTTGATGCTAGCTAAACTTATCAGCTGATGATCTTCTTGTTACATGGTATCTTGTGCAATGAATTTCAAGAAAACTACACAGACCGAAACCTAAGTTGAACCCTATTGGAATGCATTGTAATTTAAAAACATGTATCGTTATATGAAATCGCAGTGAGGTATTGTTTTTTTTCTTCTTCAAAATATACTAAGTCTTCCCGTTAATACAAAAGTTCGAATTGTCTATGATGTTTTTTCCAAAAAGATTTAAAATTGATGGACGCTCTTCTGATCGTCATGAATGTCAAATCTTCTTCTTCTTGGTTCTTAATTATCTTTCTTCTACTTTGTTTTGTTATTTTTTTTTATATAATTATGATTCTATATTTTTCACATGTGAATTTGATAACGTATACATTCTATAAGTATAGAAAGTCTCTGAACACCTTTCGATCAGAGATTCTTCACAAAATTTATCAACACCATATATCGAGATATTCTCTTCCAGAAGTATACTTTGAAAGAATATGTAAAACAAGAATATATACAATTAGCAAAATAGTAAAACAACTAGTAATTCTTTTCAAGCTAGCAGCCATGATATTATTTTTTAGATCTAATTAAGCAAATTAACGATGATTAGAAATAAGTCTTCAAGAAAAGTATTATTTAATATTACATGGTTTGTCGAGAAAAAAAAAGTTACATGATTTTATAATAGTCATTTTGAGTTCTATTTTGGTCATATCTATAATAAATTGTATATGTTCCTTTTTTTTTGGGGCAAAATATTGTATATGTTCCTTTCATACCAAAAATATTACATTAAATTTATAATTGATATAGTTGTTGTGTTTGGACAAATCAATACTACTCAATAAAATATTAAATAGTAATAAATCAGAAATTCAATAAATGTTTTATAGAAAACAAAATCTAAACCAAGATTGGTAATAAAAAATACAGAAAGCCGTAAATTAATACTGTAAACAGTAAAGTGTATTTCTGTTTAACCATTGGTGGTCAAAATTTCTGATTGATGTGATAAACTCTATGTAACAAATTAACTCATGTGACATCATGTGTAACAAATTAACTATACGCAGGTCTTTTACAGACTTTACAGACTATCAAAGCTAAAAGTATTTGACGGCCGTAAAGATACTGATTTTTTTTTTTTTTTTTTATGCGGCTACGAAGTAATAAATTTGTACACGTCTCCGAAACTTTGGCCCACGCTACGTATATTAATTTTTTCTATATCCAGTTTTGTCAAATTTTAACATGCTTAGTTTTTCAAAATGTTAATAGTTCAGTTTAATTTTTTTAATAAGAACATGTTCACTGAACAAGATAATCAAAATTAAAGTGGAATTGAAGAAACAACTATAAAAATAAATTTTGTTTTAATTAATATTTTGGACTTATATTTTAAATCAGGTAATCCGCATGTAATTTAGTTTTTGTAAACTGGCATAAATATTATTAAAAAAAAATGTTATAAAACTTAGTACGAATCAGAAACTTAACATTTTCTAGTTAGTCAGAAAATAAAAGAATTGATATAAGCTATCATTTACATAATCTATAAAGATAAGAGCTGCTTCTTTTAGTTTTTGTTTTCGCTAGATAAGAGCTGTTTATAACCCCAAAAACAAGAGCTCTGTTCTTTCATTTTCGCTGTATTTATTTTCTTTTGAAATGATCAGAAAATACAGTTTCAGTTCTGACTAAAAAACAACAGAGATCACTGACCACTTGAGGTCATGTTGCATGTGACCGAATCAGTTGTGATCTTTTTCGCTCTACGTCTCATAAATAAGTCACGAGCAATTATTACATTAAGCATCACAAGTGTGACAACTGAATCTTATTCTGATTTAAAACTATTTTCAAAGTTCTATATTTAATTTAATTTCCAGGTTCGGTACCGATCATTAAGTAGACTAACTAAGTGATGTGACAACAACCTTGTCAAATTGAGATCCGGTCCGATTGACACCCGTACTTGCATGCAAAATATGATTGTTTGTTTGAAACCTAAGAGGATATATCAAAATTACACGAAAATGGAATTGCAAGATCGTCGAGACTATATATAATAGAGCATACATACATAATACATTGCTGGTTCGAACATTTGATCGTCTGATTATACAGAAGAAAACAAGAATTGCCACACTTAATTACACCAAGCTTCCGATTCATCATAACATTCGAAATACAATTACATATAATACTAAATATATTATTAATTTTAGACCGACTTAAGACACTTGAAGACAAAAGAAAAGTACACCATACTTGAAGAACATCTTCATCAAGATAGCTCTAGCTTCTAAAGATCAATGTCGGTTTACACGACGACAGATACATATATATATATATAACTAAAACGTACCAAAATACCACCGACTAAAATTATTTCCCTTGATTAAAACGCTAATTAATCTACTTTTATTATTAAAAACGGGATCAGTAAACAAAATTATTATTTTAATGATACAAAACGAGACGGCGATCGCAAGAAGAACACAGATACTTCCTCTTGATCTTGAAACAGAGCGGAACGAAACAAAACATCCATTTTCTTTCGACATCGAGCATTTGCACTTTACCTCCACAATACGGACACGATCCAGGTGCTTGTTGTCTCCCTAACTCTGTCTCCTCGTCGTCGCATAAACACACCAGACACATTGTTTTTCTCAGATCTGATTCTTCTCTCTCTTTCTTTTTTATTGTAGAAATTTGTTTGGTTGATCAGGAAAATTTCTAGGCTTTTGGGGAAATTCACTTATTTATCGGGATATACTTTTTCTCACTGTTTCGAGAAACTTCTTACGGAGGCTTTTATTGAAAAGAAAATTTGAAGTTTTTTTTTTTGGTCTCAAAGATGGGATTTTAGGTTGGTGCATGAACGAGACTTTATAGAGAAAAGAGGAAAAAAACGGCTTCGCCTTTTTAGCCGTTTTATAACATTACTCGTTTTAGTTTTGTTACTATATGTTTTACTGTTTTACAACGAGACATTTGCTGACTCAATTATACGTCAGTTTTGGTCATATACATTTAAAGCAAAGTAATAAATATATTGAGTATAAAATGCTGGAATATGCTCTATGCTTGTTCTCTTAATTTATCTTTTCTTTGAGTAATTTTGATTTAATCGAATACATACAACATTTTTATTTCACATTTGTTAACTTGTCTTAGCTGATTTTCTTACAACATTTTTTAAATATTATTTAGTTTTTTGGTCAACATTTTTTGACAAAATGGCTAATGTGATGCCTTTTGTGTGGACTCACATTTGTTAACTTTTCTTAGCTGGGTTTCTTAACTGCTAATTTAAATGAAAGTAAAACTATAATAATTTACTTTATTATAGGCTCTCACACACACATAAGGCAGTCTAGCAAAAAAAAAAAAAAATGAGTTATCAGATCTTGATGACACTATTGTTTTTTTACGATGCCACTTCTTTCTCTAGATCATAGAAACTTCAGTTTTCAATCTCTTCAACTCTTTTACATGAGTTCACAACGTTCAGGATGATCAATGAAACCATACAAATATTTAGGATCATATTATTAGGTACTTGTGATGAATTACATTTAAATTTTAAAACAATATTTTTTGAAACATGAAAATAGTTCTAAACAACATTTTAATTGTGTGACAAAGATACTCATTTCTTTTATCATTTCTATTGCAATCATTCATATTAAATCACATGAATATACAATATATTGTTGTTTAGAATATGTTACAAAATATTTTATGGATGGTTGATAAAATAAATCAGATAAACACACACACACGGATATATATTTAATTATCAATATAATTTTAGGTTTTGGTTCGATGTGGGACATGTTCAGAAAGTTACAATTTTTCTATAACATCTTTAGAAATACAAGAGAGTCAAAATTTATAATAAATATTTGCAATCATTTAAATATGAAAACCACCCGTGCGTGTTGGACTGATTAGAAGAGTACAAGTGAAATCAAAAGGGAGAACACATATTGTAAGTAAAAATTGTACATTTAAGAGCAAACAAAAAGCAGAAGCAAAAATGATTACGTTAATGGCGAGGCTCGTGTGTTTGTAAGGTAATAATACAATTACGTTAAAGAGGTCAGAATGAGGTAACAACGCATTGTACTCCCACAACCCCACAAGTTTAGAAGACGACAATGTTCCCCGTTAACTTTTACTTTGATTCCATCGCCTAGCCGTTACCTTTCTAAAGGGTGAATTACGAAATAATATCAAAAATTTCAGTAATCAAGTATCAATAGAGACGTTTAAATTACTAAGATGTAGTTTTTGAATATTTTACTTTCACACTTATGCTTTTTAATTGGAGATGATAACTTGCGCAATAATGGCCGGGGAAGACATTTAAACAGTGGTTCCGACGTTGCGACATTGGTCTCGATCGCGAGAGTCGTCACCTTCGTTAAAACTTCGAAAATCTACACATCATCATCACAATTGCAAATGTCGATGACGTACGCCAACTACAATATTTCTCCATCAATCTTCTTACGCATTATAACGATCTCACACACCAATTTCCTTATGATATACTATATGGTAACAAAAGGTTGTATGTAACAATACATAATTAAATAACTATTTGTATTATTGTAACGTGCTAAATTATCGCTTCTGTTTTTTTATTTATTTAACACAGTGTATAAAACATGATATAAGTATAAATAATACCTATAGAGTTGATACTGACTCGTGGTGAGCAATTGCATGAGATGTTGCCATGTTGGTTTAGTTTGGTATCATCGACCCTAAATTAGAGCAGGTGTTGAATAGCAATTTTTTTTTTAATATAATATATCGCAGTGGCTTTTATAGGATCATAAGTGAAATATACCAGAACTACTGAAAGAAAAAGAACTTCAGTTTATATATTTTGTTCTATTTATAAAACTCAAAATTTAAAAGAAATTTCGTACGTAACTCTCTCTCTATACAACCACTAAATATTTGCCTTATTATTTGCTATTCTTTTACGCCAATTAAATTTGTTAACATGTGAAATGAATGAGGTACAACTTACGGCGTGTGCTAAGAAAAACTATTTTTCCGGAGCTCAAAACTCAAAAGATAGGAGGAAATTAAAAAAACTGAAGATTGTAAGCTAAGGTCGAAGCAAATGAATCAGGACCGTTAGATCAGCATCTACGCAGGTGTATATCCGATATACAACATGAAAATCGTCGGCTCAAAATACGATGGACGCATTCGCCATAAATAGTAGTAACGTTCCCCTCTCTTTTTGTATTTTACAAGCCAACAGAATCTCTAGCCCAAGGTTTTACGACGAAGCTCAAGTTTTCTTTAATTAGATAGTTTTTTTCGCTTACGAAAACGTGAATGTCAATCAATGTTTTCAAACTATAGTAATTAAATTTTGGGTTTCTAACATTCTACTCTTTATATCTCTAATCATATAGTATCTTACAAAATATATAATTTTTACTCTCTCGTTGATTTGTATCCCCATATGTCGTTTGCAGCTAGGACTGATTGAAGAAGTACGAACTCATAATGTCGACAAGTAAAGATCAAATAATAATGGACAATGTCAAGGACATTCATTGGCTAGTATAGCCTAGTAATTTATATTTTTCGTGCTTGTTTTCTAGGGTTTGTACTTTCTACATTTAAAGTCTATAGCAGACGACAAACAATAGAAAATTATTGTTACAAAAATTAATATTTTGTGACCAATAGCAAAGCATACTCGTGTATCATACGGTCATACGGACCAAGTACGAGTATGACTGATTTGAGGACTCAAGTCCGAGTTTTTCGCTTATGCCAATAAAAACTATGGGCTTGATCACTGTTTTTTTTGACCCATGTGCAATCCAATATCGTATATCTTTGGAATGTTGGACCAAGCCTTAAACCACATTATTCATTTCCTTAAGTTCTAATTTAATCGAAAAGGGTTTTCAAATTACGAATTATGTTGTGGTTTGTAAAAAAAAGAAAGAGCAGTTGTACAATTTTCCTTTTTGTATTCTTACATAGAATTAGACGTTAGAATTAAGAAAAATACAAAACTTATACGAAAATAACCCGCACGTAAATATCATCTATATGAATAATGTTTATGTTCAAATCGTCGTTTATTATTATTTAATTTACTAATCAATTAAATTATCAAGTATCAACTAATTCGTTGCTTGAAGAACCAAGCCGGTTAACTTGATCATATGGGTCATAAATATTACCCATGAAAATGGGCCTTCGATACAATCCATGAAAACAGGCCTTAAGCCATTACAACGCTTAATACTCTGAATCGAATATAGCTCGACGTCAATATTAATTCTCGATGCTTACAAAAAAATTTTACATATTTTTGTCACTCAAGAGTCCAAGAGTCGAGACATTACGAATAGCCAGACAAATGATGCTGTGAGCCTGTGATATAAATATAATTCCACACTTGATGAGATCGTTACATGCCCAACATGAAAAAAACTAGATTTCTATCACCCTTATCTCTGGTTTATGAAAATTATGATCCCGGTTAGCAACTTCTTGAAAAACAAAAGAAAAAAATATAACTGTTTATATATTGAAATGGATTATAGTGTGATGCTTATATTCGCATAAACCAAATAGTTATATTATGAGTTGAGAGTCTTCAGACTAACAATACCAACGGCACTGAGTTGCGAATTTGCATTAGATCCATTTAGAGTAGATGGATATACATAGTGATAAATGATAATAGATACATATAAATGAATTTAATTAAAATAATCATAGGAACAAAAGCAAAGAGACATTCCTACTACAAACCCTACACAAAAAAGGGAATGAAACAAAAGTTGACTGTGTGGCCCATTCACACCTCATCTGCAATGATGACGAAACAGAGTGGGAAACTCGAAAAGTTGGCTTTTTTTTAACTTGTTTATTATTTTCGCTAATTAGTTACTAAAAAGTGATTATTCACTCCTCCCCCATGCAATACACTCCAAAAGACTCGATAGATAGATAGATCGTTCGTACCCCAACAAAACAATAATAATCAATACATAAAGACACATCGATGTACATTAAAGTTTTTATTCTATGGTCTTGCATATCATGTCACTAACCCCACTTATCGGATTTCTGTATATTTTCCACCGAAAATAAAACCATTTATAAAACTGGCTATACTTTTAGTTGGCTTTCTCTCCATTGTCGTCTTATAAAAATTTTGTTGGACACCCATTGTCATTTTAATTAGTCTTATATACATATCTGATATTGAAAACTTAGTGGCATAGGTATAATCTATCCTTGGCTCATGATTAGCCTAGTATAATGACCAACCCAATTACGAAAACGACTTGTTTATTTATTTATTTATAAGCGTGGATAATATGTCCATGATTAATATATTTACACATTGCACCACTCCAGATAATTAGAAAAAAAAGAACCATCGTGAATATAATGAATGAATAAATGCAGGATATGAAACAGAATCTACTATCTTTTCCCTTTTTTTTGTGTTGAATTTTTTTAGGTGTCATACAAAGTGATGGGTTTTAGACTAGCAAAGAGAATCCATGTTGGGTGCTTTAAAAGGCGAGCCATCAAAAAGAGAGAAGAGAGAATATAAAGGGAGGAGAGAGAGAATATTTCACTAAGTGTAGGCTTTG